GTACCCCTGTCTTGTGCCTTCTGCAGACAAAGCCCTTCCCCGTCTCTGCGACTCGGCTGCCGCGTCTGTGCTGCTCGGGGGTGGCGTGTCTCGATCAGCTAGCAACATCCCCCTGAGGCAGACGCATCCCAAGGACACATCTGAAAATGAAGGCCGTGCCCGCCTGCCTGGGGCTCCCCCACATCGTGTGCTCTGGGCAGTGTCGTGTGAGCGAAGTTCCTCACGCGTGTGTCAGTGCACAGCCGAGAGGTGCCATGCACGCCCCGGGAATGAGCCCTGTGCTGCACACCCTGCTGCAGAGCACACGGCCGAGCGCAGGATCTTCCGCTCTGCCATCTGGGACCCTTCCTGGGCGCTCAGGGCCGCAGCGCTGGTGTGTGCCCGAGTCCTGTGGGTTCTGTTTCTCGGGGAGATGGGCTTGTCGGAAACTCAGGCTCATCACTCTTAATGTTTGGATGTAAAAATTTTACTAAACTCTTCTGATTACGATGGCTCACAAAAACAACACTCCATATCGCCAGAGAAGAGCGTACCCCGACCGGCTCTCCCTTTCTTTCCTGTCCTGTCAGGAGCTTGAACACCGAGGGACAGGTTAGCCTCACGTGGGGTCCCAGAGCCCTAGCCCTAAACTTGCCGCACATCTGACTTGTGTAGTAGGTGACGTCGGCCTGGCCACCAGGGCCAGCAGGTCACACACAGCCATCCGCACGTGCTGACGCTTACCCCAGTTTTCAGAATGGCTTTGCTTCCCACCCCACCGTTACATGAAGCGTCCCACTTTGAAGGTCACGGACGGCGGACTGCAAAGCCCATGGCTCTCTGTCACTTTAGTGGAAGTGAACACGTGGTCCTCGCGTTCCACCCTGCCGGCCCGCAGTCCTTCCGGGCTGTGACGGCGGCTGTGCTCTTCTAAGCGCGCGGCGCACTTGCTCCCCAGCCACGCGCTGTCCAGGGCGGACGCTCGTAGTGTTGCAGCATCACACTTCTTACTTTCAGGATCACCGTTCGTCTGTGCGGGTCTGTCCTCGTTTCTCCCTGTGTCTTCTTTCAGCGCCCCTCGTGGTGAAGACGCACCTACGCTGAGAGATGGGCAGCCCTGTGGAGTCGGGCAGGGCAGAGCAGGGGCAGGGCAGGCGCCCTCCCCGCCGCACCTCCGTGACGGCCACTCCCGCAGCACCCGGGCCTCCCTCGGGTCTGGGTTGGGTATTTAGAATTGAGCCTATGTGCCTGCACCCCTTCCCAACAAAGCCACACCCAGCCAATTGCGTCTGTTTTAGGTTCTGCGGTCTTTACTTGGTTAACAAACTAACGAGAGTTAAAGGGAGTTCGAAACCATTTTCTAGCCACTGAGTTTTCACAGTAACCACTTCACTGCTCTTTAATGAGAGAAACCCTTGCCTTGTGTTACGAACACACCAAGTGCTTGCACCGAATCACGTCCGGCCCGGGGGCGGAGCAGAGTTCGTGTGTGTGAGCGGTGTGGAGGTCAGTCCCGCATACGCCTTTCCACAGGTAGGAGAGAGACAGGGAGAGACACTTCTACACCTCCAGGCTGGTCCTAAGATGCTGCCCAGCCAGGTGCTACTTTTAACAGACCCAAGTCTGAACAGTCGAATGTTCCTCTAAGACCGTCTGTGCTGAGCCCGGGCTCTTGAGCCTCAGGAGTAGGTGACGAGCCCTGGGCCTGTCCCGGCTCAGGAGTGGAGTGGGGAGGAAGGGAGGGCGGCCTGGCAGCCCTGACCAGCGCTTCTTCCACTTCCCACAGGGGACAAGGTTCTGCAGGATGACGAGTTCACCTGTGACCTCTTCCGGTTCCTGCAGCTGCTCTGTGAGGGGCACAACTCAGGTTTGTGGGTGCAGCTGTCGGGCACCGTGGGTGAGCATGGGCCGTGGGTGCCGGGCCGTGAGCCTGGCATGGTACTATCGGTGTCAGGCTGTGAGCCTGGTGTGGAGCTGTGGGTGCAGGGCCGTGAGCCTGGTGTGGAGCTGTGGGTGCAGGGCCGTGAGCGGGCCGTCAGGCATCACAGGTGAGCGTGGGCGTGGATGCTGAAAGACAGGAGCTCTGCCGCAGTCTCACCCCCATTTTCCCAGCACGGCGGCCGGGTAACTGCCATTGCTCTGCTGAGGCGGGGGTGCCTCTGCACCCCCAGCCCGGCCCAGGGCTCCAAGCTAGGGTCTGGACAGGGTCGTAGGCAGAAACTGAGGGCTGAGGCTCTGGGAGGCGCCCGGCATGTTTAGGGTGATTGCTCACTTTTGGTGGAAACATGAGTGACTGAAACTGTCGGGTAAGACGCCACCTCAGCCTCAGCGAGCTTGCTATAGACAGCTCTGTTCTTTCAGGGTTACTCAAATAACCCACCTACCTTAAACTCAGTGAGTGTTAACGGTGGTCTCGCTCTTCTGTAGATTTTCAGAACTACCTGAGGACTCAAACCGGCAACAACACGACTGTCAACATCATCATCTCTACGGTGGACTACCTGCTGCGGGTCCAGGTGGGTCTCTGCCGCTCATGCCCAGGCGCCTCCATGCTGGACCTGCAGGACGGTACATGGCATGCTCTGACGTGCGTTGGCTTATGGCTAGGCAGACTTTTTTAGATAATTTGTCTTTTCTTCTAAAAAAATTATTTCTTTCATGAGAGCGCTGGAAGGAGAGAAATAGGGGCCTCCCGGCAGGGTCTCCCCAGACTGCAATCCTCCCCCCGCCCTTCACCAGCCGTAATGGCGGGGGGCGGGGGGCGGTGGGGCGGGGCCAGGGCCCA